GGGGGGGGGGGGGGGGGGGGGGAGGAACCTTAGTTTTATGATTTTATCCATGAAAAACATAAAAAATAAAAAAAAATACAATAATGATTCTTTTTTTTTTAAAAAAAAAACCAGATTACCATTTTGTGACTTTTTGTTTTTTATAGAAAAGAAAAGTAATATATTTTGAGGTCCAGATGACTAAATTGTGTCTAAGTTATCCTTCAAACTAAAAAGACAATAGAATATATATATATATATAATCTTAAGAAGATTTTTTATGCAACCCTTGATTGATACATTAATGCGAATTGTGCATTATGAAAAGTTAGTAGTATAAAAAAAGCACCAAATCCCAATTGAGAAATTAGGGTTTCAGTGCGTGTGCCATTAGACCACCAATTACGTGTGATAAGTTGCATTATCAATGAAGCCGTTGGTGTGGAATTGAAATCATGAGTAGGAATATTAATCAATTCCTTCGTTGGCAAAACCCTTTTCTTCTATAATCTTGTTGGGTTGTTAGGAGAACGAGACGGCTTCTCTTAAAAGCAAAAGCAAAAGCAAAAGCAAATCCCATTCGCAAATTAATGTGCTACAAAACCAGCAAGTGGGGTTAAGGAGAGGGAAAAGGAAGAGATAGAGCATGGTCAGATGGGCTCTTGGTATGATCAAGACTTGGAGAGTAAGAAGGAAGATCATTCCAAAACATATTCAGTATTGATCAGTTCCATAACTCTCAAAAATAAATAAATAAATATGAGGTAAATAAAAAAAATTAACACAATATATGATTAACCTAACTCAAAACATAACCGAGGAAAAAGGGTTTAGGAATGATATACATTTCTTGTCTCGACCACTATACCTAGTTTAAGGTTGAAGTGGGGTGCAACCCATTAATTTATACAGAAAACTCAATTATAAAAACTAATTTTTTTATTATTTTTAGTTTTTAAATGGGTTTCATGTAGAAAACTCAACCTCAATCTCCAAAATAAATATATTCTCAAAGTTTTACGGTGGTGATAATGGTATTAGGTTTCAGAATTGTAAATTCTTTTTGAGCAATGAGACTTTTGAAACAGTGGAAAAAATGGAGATGTTTTAATAAGAATGTATATAGCTGGAAGTGTGTTTGAGATTGAAAATTGTAAAAACTAAATATATCTTATTGTGTTGTGTGCTTTTAGAACTATATAATATAATGAAATATATATCACTGCATAAATTTTGAAAGATAATTCAGATCTATATTCTTTAAGTTATGTTTTGAAAATTAAACAAACCATTTAATTATAACTTATCATAACTCATATGTATGAATAATTCACAATGATATATTAAAAATAGAAAAAAAAAATACTATCACAAGATAGCTAAATGATACACGTAAATATATATAAAACTTGCGAAAGATAGGTGCACCAGGGTTCCAACCACAAAGCTTTTGATTTTTTTTTCAATGGTGCATTCAGTTATAGTTTGATTGCTTACTTATAAAGCATAATCATGGTATAAAATCACAGCCTTCCAATTAACCTGTTCAGAAAATATTACATTTATTTGGGAAAAAATAAAAATTATTAAAAAAATTACTTTTTTCATGGTTATTAAATCCGATTTGATCTAATAAATTAACTTGAAATTTGGCTAACAAGTGTTTTTAATAAGATCACAAAATATTACATTCTGTTATAGCTAATTTGATATAATCTTGAACCTGGTCGACCAATTAAATTAGGTGTTAAAAAATATTAATTTGAAGTTGATATTATTTAGTTGTTTTTATGAATTGTTTTTGTTGAGTACAATCTGCTCAACCCTTACCTAAAACTAACTCCGAGTCAACCGTAATGATGGCATAATTGAAAAGGATAAAGCAAGAACACAGCGTGTACAGTTTTAAGCACCTTGAGCTATACATTACAGACAATAATACATACACTTGCAATAATTAGCATCGCTAATCAAGCACTTAACACTCAATCCAGCACAGAAGAATTGGAATATTAAGGAAACGGGAAAAAAATTCAAAAGAAAAAAGAAAGTTCCATTAACACAAGGTGCAATTACAAGTAAATTTATGCTAATCACACCCCTAACAAAATCCCACATGTTTATATTTCTCACTGAGACCGCATCTTGTTGATTTGGTTCAAAGCCGGTTGTAGAATATTGTAGAGCACCCATAGAATAGCAGGAGCAACAACAATCAACAGAAGAGTACCCCTGTTGTCACTTGTTGCATCAGCAATCATGGCAATCTCACTAGCTGATGCATCTGGTGTTGATATGAAACCTGATGCAGCCAATCCACCAAGTCCAAGCCCAACGATCACCCCCTTGGTCTGACGCATGCGGTTAATTTGGTTAAGTGCTGGTTGGAGGATGTTGAAAAGCACCCAGGCTATGGCTGGTATGAGTGGTAGCAAGAGCGCTATACCACGGTTGTCACCTTCTGCTATTTCAGCTATTTGTTGTGCAGCAAAAGCAGGTTCACATGAGCTCAAGGTTGTGAAGATAGCACCGGCAATAGCAGTACCGGTGAGGACAGTGTTATCTGCTGGTTTTGAGATGGTTAGGCCTTTTGGGAGGTTTTGCATGGAGAGAAGAGAGACAGGTTTTGTTGATGGCTTGGTGGGATTGATGTTCTTGTTGGAGTTGATGCTCAAGCACTTGGCATTGAGTATTGCCATTGTTGCCATGGTTGCTGCCATTGATTCTTGCTGGGACTTGGTTTTTGGTGATCAAGCTGAGCAAGAAGATGAATTCCTTGGAGAGAAATGAAAGTTGCTGTGATGGGCAATAGAAATGTAAAGCCAAGTCAGGGAATTGATGTCCAATGGAATTCTGTTTTCTGGATTCTACTCTTATCCAGAGAGTTTAGTTGGTGAGATATGGACCTCACATTGCCTACCCCACCACAATCTCTTATCGCATCCTCTGAACTGAGTACTGTGGGCAGCTAAGATTACAGATTTGCGGAGGGGAGATCTTAATCCATAGCTTAAACTCTTTTATCATTATGATTTAAGCTAAAGATTCCTCACAAGTCCATGAAGATTGATATCAACAGGCTGCAAGCCTCTTTTTGGGCTCATTGATGCATGGAAACTTTGTTCATGAGTGATCCACAATTGGTGGTCGTATGTTTTTTTTTTTTAATCTTTGTAACTGTGCTTGTCTCTGCTCACAGGAAGCCCGGGTATTAGGCCATCGAGCTGAAGCCCAAGCTAGAAAAAAATACGAAGGTTTTATAATATCTTGCTTTGAGTATAGCTCTGTGTCAATTACGTAGCACATTCAGGGCCAAATGACCATTCAGTGGTGTATAAATTTTACACGAATTAAATTGTGATATGCTTGTGAATATTAACTAATAGAAATTATAAGTTCGTGTTTGACTACTGGCTTGATATACAAGAGACATGGACAGTGAAGACAAGAGCTCAATAAAATATAAAACTAAAATATAATTTATGTTTGGTACTGATTTAAAAGATAAAGTGATTGTGGTTGTACTTATATTCTATTTGGTTATGGAAAAAAAGACATAAAAAAATATAAAAAAATTTCTATTTTACTTTTAAAATGTATTGTTATAAAACTTATATATTTAAAAAATATAATTCGATATTTTATTTTAGTTTATATTGAGTTTTTAAATTAATAGTATTAATAAAACATGGATTGACTTGACGAGTTGATCCGAGACCTAAACTAGTCCAAATTTAAAAAAGAAATATAGAAAGAATTGACTCAACTTGATTCAGTTTAAAATTAAAAGTTTTAGGTTAGTCGAGTTTACCCTCAACCCCTGACCTGAACCTTGCCCCAGGCCAATTTTCGAGTCAGATTTTAAAACTATGTATATATAT